ACTGCATCAAGTACTAGAAAGCCTCCGGCGGATATGCTTGTTGATCTTTGCAGAAAGAGGAGCGTGGGCGCTGCTCGCCTCTCTCCTTCAACCCCGACTGGCCAGAGGTGATCAGGTATTTAACTGCGCAGGGCCGGGGCGGGGGAATAACCTCTGAGATAGCTGGTGAGGAAAATTAAGATCAACAGGTAGGCGAGGGAGCGAGGCTTCAGCTTCAGTTTCGAGGGCTGGTGGTGTGACAACAGTTGCTAATTACAGGCAGGTTAATGCAAGGTTGTTTAAGGAAACTCAGGATTACACAGGTAAGGAATGTGGCTGTTAGGTCAACAAATCCCTTTCAAGGAGGAAGAAAAATAGATCACAGCACGGCACAGTGAGAGGGAGGGACATTGGTGGGTCATGTTGAGAATCTTGGCCCAAAGTTATAAAGGTAGTAAGGCTTAAACAATTTATGTTCAGAAAAAGCTGATGAAACTCTTATGAAAACATAGGTAGCAAATACACAAGTGTAGCTTCAGTGAAAGAAGTAACTCAGATTCTTCCTAGACGCTGAGTACTCCCCCCCCCCCCCCAATATCTTTTTTTTTTTATTAAAACAAAGTAACGACATTCCCAAGCCCTGGGTTCCCCCCCCCCCCCCATGCATTTTACTGATTATATAAAGAGCATTAGAAGTATAGCCATGGACATAATTGTTGCTTTACAGCGGCATTACCTGATTTCAGCTTAGAAATTCTGCTGCTGCTTCCAGCTTCCACCACTCCTGGTCACAACGGGCCTAAATATCCCATGTACGCTCCATTGTAACGCAGCAGTGTTTTTAGATTCGGCACGTTCCTCACCGAACTCAACCAGGCCATTTACACAATTTGCACCTGCCGAACAAGGCACACCAATGCAGGTCTTCACTGTCTGGATTCTAATACATAAATTCTATTCATATAAATAAATAACGAGCTTTGCAGTGTTCTCTATTTTTGTAAGCAACGAGGAAGTCTGTTCCCTCTAGGTAAAACTAGCGTCATTTTCCAGGAACAGAAACAGGCCTTGAAAGCCAAGTGATTTAACATAAATCAGACAAGTAAGGTTAAGTGCCCCCCGCCCCCCCGATGTCAGACGACTCCAGATACGTTTGATTTCTCCTCATACAGGGGGGAAAAAAAGCGCCTGTGCAGCTTTGGCATTGGCCACTACTCAGCAAGTAAGAGATAACAGCAAGTAAGCATATAAGCAGCAAAACTGATGTGCAGAGTTGTGAAATAAGCTTGTCGCTGCTTCATTCCTCAGTATGATACTGAATTCAAAACATTCAGTTTCTTTTGGAATAGTATTTGACCTTTGGAAATACCGTCTTCTAAAAATTTCCATTGTTGAGTAACTTTGATTTCAGCATATTGTTTCTCAATTTATGGTGACTTCTCAATGAAGAAATTAAAACCAGAAGCACAGCTTTTCTGGAATAATCATAGATTTAATAAAATTGCTGTTACCTATGCAACTCTTTAGTTCCAGTTAATCTAATTGAGAACTGAAATACCAGAGTAGGAGAGCTCTAACTTACCATTATGCTTTGTAAAAGTTGTTTCCTCATCTGTTTCAGAAGACAGCTTCCTTTTTTTTGCATCCTGACCTTCATTATACTACCCAGGTTCAGTTCCCTGTTTAATGTTGTTATTACCGGTATTTTTGCTAAGAACCCCTGTCAGAGACTGGACTGTTAGATGATTGTCCCAAAGCTTGCTTGGCCGAGCCTGTGTGAGCCGGCGGGGGTGGCGGGAGGTTCTGATACCGTCGGACACCGGCAGAGCGGTGGCAGAGACGTCCGGACCTGGCCGGCCACTTGTCACGTGGCGGGGGGTCACGTGAAAGACGAGACCCAAGGCGCGTGGACAGCGCACGAAAGGTGCACGCGTGTGCCAGATGGTGAGTACGTGCCAAATGTGCCAGAGCCCAGTTACCGACTGCCGGTACCAGAACTCCCCCGCCGCCCGCTAACGACCCTCTATGAAAGGCGTGTGAAGCGGAACCGCGGGGGGTGTGTGCGTGTGTGTGCACCCACCACCACCGAAGGCGCGACTACGGACCGACGGGACGCCGCTGGATCCCTGGTGGTGACTATCCTCTGCTTATCTCTCCAAACGCGTGCTCAGTTTCCTCCTAATATTTCCTGCCTTTCCTATCGCTCTTTTTCCACCTATACGCGTTCAATAAAGTGACCAAAGGTGGCGGCATTTGACCTCGTTCACGTCTTAATCTCACTCTTGGGTTTATTACAAACCTTCCCCGAGCCCGAAATGGGAGCGGGACAAGCCCCCTCCCTGCCGAGGCCGTACAGCGCCGTGCGCAGGGCAAGCAGAACGGGAACGCTGACCCTGCCACAAAGGGTTTCCGTCCGAACGAGCGGCCAGACAGGGCCGTAGGGGGAAACAAAGCGACGCTGATCAGCGTGCCAGGCAGGGCAATCGACGAACCGCTGCCATTCCTGCCCTGTAAGGGAAAGGGCTTTTTATAGAGTCCTCTGAAGAACAGTGGGGCTGCTGTGCAGATTTTTATGAGGATGTTTGCTCAAGCTTAGGGGGAAGCCAGGAAAGAATTAATGCACTCAGCTGAAAAGTGACGTGAATACGGTAATTGGTGTTGGAGCTGGCATCTTACTGACAGAAAGTAGTTACGGGTTCCAGAGGGCACTCACAACCAAAACCAAGTAACTTGGGCTTTACCCAGCGGAGAAGGGGGAGCCAGAGAAAGGATGCAGAGTTTTAGCTTTTTAATAAATATAAAGCAATCTGTGTAAAACCAGTCAAAGCCATGCTGCAAGGAACTTATTTCAGTGTGCAAAAGACAGCTACGGAGCCGTCTGACAGTTGTTGGATGGAGGCCTGTAGAACGACTGACAGCATTAGATACTTGGCGCCACAACGGGCACACAGCGAAGCCAGCACGCACCTCCAGCCCCTCCATTCGAGGCCCAAGGTCAACACAAGTTGTGGTGAAAGCGTGCAGACACGCAGAATTTTTCCCACTTGAAGAGTAATATTAGACTGCTGCATGCTGTATGACTCCAGCACAGATGGAAGGCGCAGGTACAGAGCTCGTCAGCTCTCGGTTAACTTACACACTCACTATCAAGTTTCTGTGCCAGAGGAGTACATAGAGCACAATAAGGCAAACCATTAAAACTTAAACCAATAAAAAAAAGCAGCGTTCTTTAATTGTTGTTCTATGTAACCTCCATCTTCTTTCCCAACACACATGTAAAAATAAGGAGATGAGATTTTTTTGAAAGTTCACAGTGGACAGTTTCAGAAACAAACTTTGCTTCACCTGGGATCTCTAAAGCAGTGCGAAAGCGAGCACAACAGTTTGATGTGAAACCAGCTCTCCTAACAAAGAGCGAGCACAGATAATGTAAGCGACATTAAAAGAGCTACAGTTCACATTACATGACTGGCCCAGTTCAGTTTCTTCTGTCATGACTTGCAAAATAAGAGTAATAAGAAACAGCACAAAGGCTTTTTCTTAATAAATTTTAATGTTAAGACCAGTTTGTCTGGATAAAAACACAAAGTTACAAGAACCACACTACTGCAAATTCTGCATGATGTAGTGCTCGCAATATCTGAGTGGCAAGACCATTTTGGAACTGTTTACGAAAGGTATGTCAAAGACAGAATCTTGGCGTAAGTAAGAATGTATGTTACCAGTGAATTTAATCTTGTGAAAATATATCTGTCCCACAATGTACACCACTGTAAATAGTAAAATGCAATATTTATGCACATCAAAAATATATGGGGCGAACACTCAATTTAGCATTTAGTCAGCAACAGTGCATGAGAGAGAAATATTTTGGTTATTTTTCTATGATTTCATTTCACTGGAAATTTCCTAATAAATCACCCCAAAGGGTAGTATTTGTGGTTGAAAACCATCAGGACAACAGTAATTCTGTAAAATAGTAGTTTCTGACCTTCTGATAGTGACAGCCCAATCCTCCTGCCACTAGATGCATATGCGTTTGGCTTGTGCTCACTGCCTTAAAACATGAGTCCAGACACCAAAAAATGCACTACCACCATCACAGCCTGGACCACATTAGCTCAAAACACGCCAGATCAGAGATGCAACATCAATAAAAGGAGATGACAATCTCAAAGCAGCTGCCAGATTCTCAAGTATTAATTATATACACGTATGGTTAAGTACAGAATACTGAAGGACAGTGTACCGAGTAGCAAGTTAAATGTTCCATCAATTCTCTGATTACTGCAATGGATACTCACATTTCCCCCATTTAATCTAGAAAAGATACTGCAATCTAAGCATGTGATTTGATGCTACTTAAAGCTTTGTGATACTGTTATGTATTTTCTTTAAAATATCTACATAAAAAAACCCCAAACATTACTGCAAAAGAACTCTATCTACATATAGAAATAACACAGGCTTGATTTGGTGGCTCGTTTGACTGTGTCCTTGCAAAGAATCTGCTAACTTCTCCTTGCCTCTTTAAGAGCATATGTATTTCCCTGCCCCACAGGCAACAAACGGTACGTGATGAATCGCTTCTTCAATATTATTCCCGTAAAAATTCACAGTGACCATTTCTGAAAGAGATTTTTTGTTGTTGTGGGTCTTTTTTTTTTTTTTTAAGTAATTGTGCAATATAAAATTCATACTACAATTTGAAACTTTGGTAACCTACAGAAAAAAGATTTCAAGCTCTTTAATTAAGGACCAGGTCAGAACGTTGCTTACACTATGCTCTTTGTTTCTCTGCAAACACATCAGATGAGGTTCATCCCTCCTCTTGAGGTCCTGAAAAATTCTATTATTGATAATAATTGGCTACAATTTAAGTTGTGAGGCTATCTAATTTTCCTTGGTACCTTTAAATGCTTCCATCACCTAGCCTTCGTAAATTTTTTACTTACTGTTTCAATTCAGGAAATACTGATTTCCTCTTGATTTAACAGCAACTGTACAATATTACAAATTCAGACACATGAAAAACAATCAGGCAATAGAAAATGTACAACAGCTTTGGTGTTATACAAAATAATAAAAAAGACTTGACAGCAAGATACATAGTTCATTATGTTCTCACCACAGCCACTTTGTTGCTGACTGTAAGACAGTTATTTACTTCTGATATTCTCTGTGTGGCCTTTCCATTCATGAAAAATCATACTATATTACTACAATAAGAACTGTTATGAACACCATAAAGTAATCTCCAAATTTTATAAAAACATCTTGTCTCTTCGCACTATTGCTTTGTGGCACATTGTCAACAGAACAGCAGTCCAAAATAAAGTGACAACTAGATTTAATAAATTAATAATAGTTTTTTAAAGATGTACAATGCACATTCTTTTTAATCCAAGGTTTTAGGGTGTCAGAATACTTCTATTTACACATGTACAGACCTCAGACAGCATTGATAACATCAGAAAATGCAGATAAGGAACAGAGCCTTAACTGCTATCTGGATGCTACTAACAGAAGCCAAAGCACTGCTGAGAGTGTTATCGGGAGAGATATCCAAAGACTGAGAAGAGTCTATGAAAAAAGGACATGTAAAGGCAAAGGGAAGGTCAAGATGTTTAATAGGACCATCTATTCTTGTGAAGACTGAGGTGGAGTTGTTGATGTGCCTTGTTTCCCAGACTTTCGTTCGTAATTCACAAGTCGTTGCCCAACAAGGTACCTGGGATTATAGTAAAAACAGTGAGAAATTAACAAAAGTTAAATCTACTCTGTCTCCTTTGCTGCACAATTAGCTTTCTCATTTCAATAAAAGTTATTCTACAAGTGATCCCTCCCCCCTTTAATGGTCTCCAACCATCCTCATCTTTTTTATCAACATTCAGGCATTTCATAATGGAATACAGGCAGAGAGAGAAAGGGAGAGAAAATAGCCTAATGCTACTCCAGTCAAGCATAAGGTCTGTGAGATTCCTTTATTTAAATCTGTTTCAACGTCTCACTATCTCACCAGCTTGGCAGTTCTCCTGCCGTTCATGTTATTCCCTGCTTCTTCTATATCACTGTTTCACACTCCTACTTTTTGTCATCTCAATTCCTTTCCACGCTTCCTATTTGTATGCTGGTTCTACACGTAGAAGAGCCACGTACACCTATGAATGCTTCCCCTGAAACCTGCCATCTCCTTTTGAAACTTTTTCACCACCGCTCCTTTCCTCATGGTACCATCACCAAACAACCATCACATATTTTTTGTACATTTTAAAATGTCACAAAAACTTGTATATGCTTTTGAAATATGTTACATGAAAGATTTAATTAAGCATATTTCTAAACCATAAATTTCTACTGGCTAGCGTGACTATGTTTGCTTACTTCCTGAAATGAGATCAGAAGTTGTACGAACTTCTTGTCTACAAGGACGGTTACAGCACTTAATAAGTTAATTTAATATCAAAGTAATTTTCACTTGGATATGTTTTCACAGCTTTGTATGCTGTTTACATGCCTTATTTACACAAGGAAGCAACCTGTAACATTAATGGAACTTGCAATTCAATATGCATTCTGCCTGAAAGATACTAACATTTAGCTCAAAACCCATTTGTAAATATAAATACCAGCTATACATACTACAGTAGGCCTAATACTGCAGAACATGTTATGAAGGCAGGTGGCAAACAGAATTTAAATCAGCTGATCAAATAAAAGGTGCTAAAATATAAATTGATCTGCCAAGAATTTAATTTTAGTTACAACTCTCTTAATATTTCTAGATACTATTAATTTCACATTTACACCAAACGATGTATCAGTCACTTCCTAACATCTAAGATTCAAAGTAGTTTATTTAAGGTTTGACTCCTTTTGTAGTCAGTGGAAAGCAAAACTGTTCTAGGGTAACTCAGGACATGAACACAACAAACTCGTTTATTCCTTTTTAATAAAAAAGCAGCCTAGGAAGACTAGTTGCTGGGGTTCAAAACTTATTTTTCTAAGTAACCAACGCATAAGGTAATTATGGTAACACAAAAAAATAAGGTAATAAGGATAACACAAAAAAAAAAGCTTAGAAACTAAGCAGGATAACCAGAAAAAACATTGGGAAAATTAATATTTTATCAGGCATCTGAGTAATACAGAGTATTACATCAGAAAACAGTACAAAATTTGGTAAGGACAAACCATATCACATCAGCTGAATGGTCTTTAACAGGTTAATTGGACTAATGAGTAGAAAGAATAAGAAAAACAGTTACGCAGAAAAGGTTGGAGATGTGGTTTTCTAAGCAGCAGATTGAGATGTGATTTTACTTCCAGGTATGTCATAATTATTACATTCACTTGTCCTTCAAGACTAAGAGGGGGAGACAAACAAGCAATCAGCTTCATTTGTGGTAAAGCACATTCAAGTTAGATATAGGGGAGTGTCTTCCATTTATAAAGACAGTCTATTCCTGTGTTTATCTACCTGAACCACAGATAAAACATTTGCCAAGAACAGTTTAGGTCTGCCTCAGAGGGTCATCTGTCTAGAAAGCTTCCTAAAATCCCTTGTATCTACACCACCTGAATTCAATCTGAAGTTGTTATCACAATTTAAAGTGGAAAAAATTAAAAACTCCACAATATATACTCACTTGTCATTTTTAATATGTTCATAAAGGCGCTTGAACTGGCGGACTTGGAAGGAGAGAATTCCCATCAATACCACCACCATAAGCAGAAAAGGATAAATCCGTCGCTGAACTAGGTTTTGCATTTCAGCGGTAACTCCTACAAAACAAGACACAACCCTCCCATAATCTAATGTTTCTAAAGTAATACATGCATTTCTGCTTCTGTACCTGCTTCTATACTTTTTGTTATACTGTAACTTCAGTAGAAAGGCTGTGAAATAACTAACACATCCATTTATCTCAGAGATCCAACATGACAGCTGCTGTTCTTTCTCATCTGAAGCATTAAAGCTGAAAGTTTTCCATTAACACAGTGAAAATCCACAGTAAAAAAATTGGGCTTATCAGCTCTTCTTGCTGACTGAGTTCTGTATACCTCATATCAGAAAAAAGCTGACACTATAGAAGCCTGCATTGAAGTGAGAGGTTTAAGAATAAAATGGGACTCCTTGAACATTATTTCCCTCAATTATGAGGGGATAGGAAAGTCTGAAAAAAATAAACTGTATTTACAATTTACATGTTATTTTAATATTGAATGAAAACCTCAGAACAAAACCCAGTATTTTCACCTGTTCTAAGCTTCCTTTAGAATCTGACAAGTCAGAAAAGATGGCCTCAGCTCAGTATACCTCTTAAAGAGAGACTAAAATTAAAGGCTGATTGTTCAAAGAAATGAATTAATCATCCCTTTCCCAAACTAGCTAGATACCTACATTTCTGCTGTTAGATACTATGCAGTCCCATACTCTTGATGCATTCTGCACTTGGTTTATTAAAAAGCCAGTCAGAATAATGTATTGCATTGCTCAAAAACCCCCAAACTTCTAAGATGACACAGCAATTCTTAAGCAATTACATCTGCTGGCAGAATAGTGTGTGGGGGGGGTTGTTGTTGTTTGGTTTGGTTTGGTTTTTTTTTTTTAAATAACCTAGAGCTTGAATTTTTATTTCCACAAGTGTATTTACATTGCTCTAAACCATCAGATGATAAACAGGTATTCTGAATGCATACATACCTAATAAAGGTACAACACCAGAAGCTATGATGTACGGTACACACAGGGAAAGTAACAGAACAGAGATTACGGGTGCTGCCAGTTTACGGATTATGAAGTGTAAATCAATGTTACGAATCCCATTTGCATATACCTAAGAAGAACAAGTTAGAAGTAGAATGGATCAATCAAGAAAACCATGCTTTGTGCTTACAGTAATAATTACAAGGTTTCACACAATCCTCCTTATGAGAGGAAACGGGTGTTCCCAACTGGAAGAAAACCATGACAGCCACAGTCAAAGAAGGAAAAACTCTGTGCCAATCTACATCATGAGGGTACCAGGAAATCATTTAAATAGTGCCTGGGAGAGCGACTTAATCTGGAATAGCGTTGTGATTTGGTTGCAGGAGTGCAAGAGACCAGCTGAAAGATCATTAAATAGAGCTGTGGATGGTGGTTTTGTGGGTGACCTGGGATGGCTTTGTGCTGTTAACCTGCTGAAAGAGGATCCTGTGTATGCCAATAGAGCAAATCTATTAAATTTGTAACACAGGCAGAAAACAGGATCTTATTTTGCACTTGCACTTTGGGCAGCCCAGAGCCTCTGCATGTGGAGTCTGTGCCTGAAGACAGGGCCTCAACAATTCTTGAGGAGCTAAGGTCTCAACACGACTACACTAATCATGGGAAAAGACCAATTTCAAATGGCTACCACGTACAGCTGGGTGATGGCCTCTGTCCCGCAGCCTGGATGTAACCATTTGTAAGGATGGCTCAGGAGAGCGTCTGTACAACAAACAGGCCCAGGGAAGAGCATTCAGAACAGAAGGAAGAGCCGTAGTACGCATCAAAAGGCACTCGCAGAACTAAGACTACAGTTCTCCGGTGTGACGCCTAAAGTGATCAGTAAATGGTTTAATAACTGGGACTATGTGCTAGACTTAATCACGAGAGGCACCTTTTGTACAGAGGTCAGGACATGCACCATAGCCATTATATATAGCGCAGGGCTGAAAAGTTACTTTCTGACAAACAATTGAGATACTTCATTGAGACAACAAGCACAGAACTTAAAGGTTATAATCAAGAGAAAAATACTTCTGCCTAAGAAAGCAACAGGCTATGTGACTCAGAACTGCTCACAGAACTTGTCTGCCTTGCTTAATAACCAAAGGGGAATGGAAATGCCGTCTTTCATAGGCACTCATCTATGAATGAGGGAATTTCTACAGCTCTGGAGAAGGCAGAAGTTCTCTGTTATTGAGTGGTGGACATAAATAACGTCCAGTATTTGGACACGTGAATTCATCTGAAGAAATAATGATGTTTCTCACTTTAATACAAACCCGATAAAATTGCACGTATGTATACGCAGCATTTTCTTGATTTCAGATTTCTGAGGTTTATTTTTGTTTTGTTGTTAACTGTACCTTAATGGATTAGGCTATACAATTTAAAAGGATTCTACAAGACTAGTTGAGTTTTACTCAATTACTCTATTACTACAACAGTAACTCCATTTTCTGACTCACACATTCAAAAAACATCCAAAATGTATTATACAGATAATTCACATGGATAATTTTTTCCTACCTGTTCAATAACAGTTTTCAGCCACCACTGGGGACCCATCAGTGTTATGGCAGCAATTATTTTGGCATGCAGAACTCCGAGAGCCCAGTCCTAATTTTGTAAAAATGGACTGTTAGCATTAACATATTTTTAACTAGTTTGACAACCAAAAGCTTTTAGAGCAACTTGTTAACATTACTTATAAAGTGAAAAGATAATTGCTATTTTATTTACACAGGACATTGTTTACAAGAGGTGACATCTTCTGCAATCACCTAAGAAAAAGAGGATGCTCTCAAGCTTAGCTGACATCTGTAAAATACTCAGCTCCCTGGAACCAGGAACATCAGCTACTACTATTAAACCAAAGGAAAATACAAAATAAAAGCATTCCACTTACTTAAAGCAACAGACTAACATTCTGGTACAAACTAATTAACACTGCTAACATTTACCTAGAAATAAGTTATTTTGATTCCTTTAAAAAAGAAGAGAAACAAGATACAAAGATGCTCACACAAGTCAGGAAACAAGGTTTTTTCCCCCTCTTTTAAATTTTAATTGTTCACAAAACCCTACCTGATGTGAGACAAGATAAACAAAGCAAGGGAACGCTCTTCACAAAAGAACACCATACTATTCAGAGGAAAATTTATGCTTTAACATACACTGCAATTATTATGGCATGGAATTAAAAGAACACAATATAACTATGGGCTTCTAGTAAACACTGGACATCATAAGTCAATCCTTTCTGGATTACAGATATTTGTAAGAGATTCTTCAATAAAACCCACCAAGAACAGAATGCAAAGTACAGGTTGACAAGGCAGAATAAACAGCTACAGAACTGGTAAGACTTAAGACATCATAGATTAATTAACTTTCTGAAACTGCTCAGGAAATATATTTTCTTTAACCAATTATTTAAAAAGACAGCTTTTGTTAATGCCTATTACCCCAGATACATTCAAAAGTTAAAAAACTTATTACAAAAAAAGTCAGTGTTAAAGTTGCTTCGTGTTTGCTCAAGCATGTAACCTCTGTATAACTCCATTCTCTTTTGTGAAAAATGGAAATTACTCTCATTTTCAGTAGCTCCTTCTTAATTTAGAACAAGTCTCAAATCCCTCTAATCTGGAATTTTGAGGAAGCTCTGCCACATGAAAATAAAATCTTTCAGTATATTTAATTACAAATTTGTAAAGAACTAACATGCAAAAATTAAGAATTTTTAGCATCTCTAGCATTACAAATTCTTTCCATAACTGTTTGGAAACCAGGATCATCTACCACTGCAATCACATGATGTCCTGACTTATTAGTCATTTACTTAAACAGACACCTCCAAAGTATACTTGTATTATAAAAATAATGAAATATTTAAATTAGCAGTCAAATTCTTCTTTGCATTATGGCTTTCAAACATTTGGATACTGAAAGTAAATGAAAGCTTGTTTGTAGACAGCTTGGAAAATCACTATCTCTGAACACTTTGTTGTTATTTAGTAATAGGCATTCTAGGTCTTTTGAGTTATGGTTCCCTCAGGGTTTCTTTGAGTTACAGGTTATTTCATAATTCAGCCTAGGTGGTGCAAGCATTTGTCACTCAATCCACTGTACCTTCATTTCTTCCACCAACTTGCAGGAAAAGAGTTTGCACTCCCTTAACCTGTGAGACTTGACTGAAGAAAAACAAAACACTACTACCGCAAAATCTTGTATTAATGATTTGACATCTTAGCCTAAAACCAGAATGATCCTAAAGCATATCAAAATTTCATTTACAGTGTGTATCATCACCGAATTAAAACCTTGTATGGAAAAAAAGATCAGCTGAACCTCTTGCTGCATAACTGCAGGCAGAAAGCTTCCCAGAAAGGTCAGACAGAATATGTACGTCTGTGCATACGTACATGCAGCTATACTAACTTCTGTACATAACTTTACAATTACGCTACTGAAAAAAGTGTCTATCTGATCATTGAAATGCAAAGATCCTCTGATATCATCCCACAATGTTCAGCTTTTCATACTTAAAATTCCTAAGCATATCCTTTTGGTTTAAATAATCTTTGCATCCAGACTGGCTGTCTTTTCTCTGCCACATAGAAACATACTTATGGGAAATGCTCTGAAGCACCAAATCAACATGAAACAAGAACTCCCATACCCCTTACTTTTAAGTAAAGCAATGTATCAACAGCAGAAGAAGAATGGGAGCAACTCACCTGCCAAGGATAGAAGAGAGGTGTTTGATCCAAAGGAACTCTCAAAGGTGCAACGATGACCAGTTCAAACAGAAGACCGAGCAAAAGTGGAACCACACCAGCTAGCAGTATAGCCACTATTAATGTCTTCATTATCTAAAAAACCCAAGACATCTAATTAATATGTTTATCAGAGGATTCTTTTTGTTTAAACTTCAAAATGTAATTTGAACTACACAAACAGATAAAGCTGAAGAAAAAAAACTACACAGACCTTTAATTCATACATATACAACCCTAGAAATAATTTTTATTACATACATAGTTTTGCAATGCAAGTTTTCAAGATTGGGTCCTATTCCGTGCCCCCTCCAGAAAAAGGCATGATTGTGCCTACTGGTGTCCATACAGTTCTAAACCATAAAATCACTTTTGACTGTTATCAGTTGGGAATACTATCCAATGGCACTTCATTACATTGAGTATTCTTGTATGTTGGAAAATTAGAGTAGAATCTTTCCAAAACTGCCGATTTTTCTCCACTGAAAACCAAACCTTAAAAATTCACTCATTATGGAATATTTCTGACTTAAAACCGAAAGACTCAGAATACCATGCTTGAATCTTTCTTTATTCTAGAATTCTCTTAATTTACATGCATCATCCAAAAATCAGACACAAAACTAGTCCAACTTAATTAACATTAAGTTAACTGATCAGGAGATGGGGACATGAACAGGAGAAGGGACAAAGGACAAGTACAGCATTACATTTTAGCTCTGAATTTTCTTAAACAAGCTTAAAGATTTCCTAAATGAAAATGATGGATGAGGTATTTGGGAAACATGGTAATACATGAAATACATACTTACACTACTCTTCTGTCTGTAATAGTCCAATAAGCACACAAGCATGTCCATCACAAGACACCATTTATGCTATGGATGTTTAAAATTACTATACTAGACAAGAAATCTACTATAGAAACCCTCAAAACCAAAACCAAGATAAAAAGGTGTGATATAAATTTGTTGCTGTACTGAGAATCTGAACTCCTTGTCTTTAAAAATATTTGAACAACACTCAGATCTGACAAATCATAAAGATCATTCTGAATATATGCATTAAGCTACCCTGTAGAGACACATTCATCATCATCTATCAGCTTTACTAGTTTTTTTTATTTGATAATGTCAAGTTGCTAATTGAGTAATAGTTAAGCTTCCAGGTGTATGTGAAAATGTAAATGTAGTTGAGGACACATCACATATGGGATAATATAATGCAACATATTCACTTTTAAAGGAAAACAGAAAAACATCCATGTATATATAAACATATGTAAGCAAACTTATTTACATAGATTGCTTAACATTGTGCTGAATGGCTTCCAAAAATACAGTTAGCCTATGCAATGGGAATGTAAGCTGCAAAAACTTCAAAATGATCTGAAAAGGAAAATGTTGTATATGTTACAGAGTAAAACCTGCAAGGAAAAATGAAAGAAGTTTTGTTAGCTACTTTTTCGATAATTCAGTAAAAATTTTTCTCAAGACTCACCATGAGAGACCATTCTTTGACCTTCTGAAAAATCACTCTACGACCCTGTGGCATCCAGGCGACCAGCACTGTCACAGCTCGGATAGTTAGCCAACAGACATAAAGACCACAAGCAGCTGTGTACAGTTCATGGATTTTGGCAGTCCCCGTCCAAAACGACATTAACCATCGGCCAGCAAATACTGAAAACACAAACACTGTTAAATAGAGTAATACTTTTTGATGTATTAAGGAAGGATGCCTATTAAAAAATACTTGTCAAATTTATTGTTAAATATCAATGCACAAATAGTATTCAGCATAAAACAGTATTTTGGTACTATACCCATAAGGCACAAATGTGTGAAGCACTACGTAAATAGCTACATAGATGATGCCAAATACATATGCAGATTTTTTTTTTCCCTAAAATTTCATTACACCAGCAATGTGATCTGAATTATGGCAAAACAAAGCACTGAATACTGTACTATTCAGAGCCCAAACACTAATCTTCAGAACTGCAAAGGCAATAATGGATTAGTGCATAAGCTTCAACTTAAATCTTATGAGCCATGCTTGGGTTATTTTACTACCTCATATAATTTTTTTAAGACCTACTGATGGGACTTCTGAAGCTCTCCGACAAAAATGGGAGACTCATTTGCTACATTTCATTTTTTAATGTGTTTCTATTCACTAGTATTATAATGGAATTATTTTATGTACTACTATTAAAACCATCACAAAATGCGTAACTGATCTCAACACATCATTGACTTCAGCATCATTAATACAAGGAGGTAAAAATTACATGGTACTATGATAGCCAGGTTGCAAAACTCAAATGAGTTTACATGTCTTAATTTGTTCCAAATTATTTAAAAACCCCTACAAAGTGCTTTTGATTTGGTTAAAGTACTTATTAATACATATTTGGGAAGTGGCATGTATATCACTTCAAAGTCTCCTAGTGACCTGTCATGATGACACCTTCGGAATATTTAATTAAAAAAAAATACTGTAGAAGACCTGGTAACAACCTATATATTTTCCTTCTCTAAATGGTAAAGCAGGTGCAAGAGTATCAATTCTCTTTTTCTCTCAATACTACTACAGAGATTGTCTCAGCACTTGGAGCCCTGCCCTTAAAAGAAAATTATTCTACAACAAAACAAAGGAAATGGCAATCTCTGTCAGTTAAATAGAGGTATTATGTCTATCATTTAGATTTTAGACTATTACAATTTGATGATGTACCATTAAAAATAAGACATAATTTTCCATATTTTCTCCTTTAAACAATGGTTTCAAAACATCTGCCATTGTTAAGCAAGGCAACATGCCGAGTTGTTTTTAATCACAGTTTTACATTAATAGACTTACCTGGTAAGGTAAGGCAGATAAGACTAGCAATCAGTAATGTTATGCACATGAAAACAATCAAAAGAAATATCTGAAAGAGGAAAAAAAGAGAAACAGTTTATAAGAAAGTTACTTAACCAAAGCCAAAAGACCCATATAAAAAGACGCATCATTCTAGAAAGGCAGCTGAACTAGAATGTTCAAATAGCAACTGATGTTTCACTGTATAAATAAATCAGTGATAAACCTATCCCCAGTACACGCAGCACACCTACGGTGTTGTGTATTTCTTTTCGCATCAGTTGCCACAACAGTAAAAACTAATATTTGAATGCAGAATGACTGAAGTTCTTTGTAATGTTACATTAAAGAATAATCTCTTTATTTCTGCACTGACCAGCACGACTCTCAATTAACCCCGAAAGGTTTCTAGCTCTGTATGTCAGATAAGCAAGACAGTGGTTTTACAATAAGGAAAACCTTGCTGAGAAAGTTCTTCCAGATGACCTCAGGTTCATGTGATCAGCAGCTGACAGCAAAGCTGGTGGCTCCTTAGTCAGGCTGACATCTTGTCAGAGAATTCTCATGTACTACTTTAAATATTTGAATGTCTCAAGCGCCATGTGCTATGAAGTTCTGCTTCACTAATCATCAAAGCCACACAACAAGCGAGCTTACTGTGAGAACACCAACACCTTATCATAACAGACTACTAAGAGAAAGTTAAATCTGTAACACACATTTTCCTGGATGAGACTTTCAGGGACAATGCAGATCAGTCTCATCTCTAGGTTAGGATCTTCAGCACCGCTTAAAGGAAGGAAAATCTTGTGATTTTGTAGACATTAGCCTGCGTGAAGAGGGATGATTCCACAATACCCAATTACTTGCCAGGTGACAGCCACATACTCTTTTTCACACAGAATACTCTCTTTAGGGCTAGGAATCCCAAATGACAGAGAGAAGAAAACCAGAGTAGCTGACAACTGGATTGCAGGCAAAAAAACTTCTCAGTGGTGAGGAACACATGGTGTGACTTGCCTGGGACCAATACTGTCTAAACAGTTACCTAGGGAATGCTGGGGGGGGGGGGAATCAGTCCATGTGGGAATACACAACGCATGAAGGACTACAGCTGATATGAAGCTTTTAAATGCCATACATGGCTGCTTCTTGGATCAGTGAGCAAGAAAACGAACAAGAGGAAGAGTAACTCTTGACTTGGACCTAAACAATGCACAGGCAGCTAGCCATTCGTGCCACAGAAAAAGCACTGACAGTGACCGCAACATATTCAGACTCAAAAGATGTGGCAAGAACAGTCCTCCTCTCTCCAAAATCCACCACAATAATATTATTTCAAAAAAGGGAACTAGCTAAAGTGAGGACATTTATTAAAAGAATATTGAAAATAGTAGTCAAAAGGAAAAATGCTCACAGGAGACACGTTTAGATATACTGAAGTGAAGGTTTGGCACAAACTCACACTATTAATCCTAAGACTTAAAAAAAAAAAGTCTCCCCAAAGTTGTCACAGTAAATAGTAAAATAGAAATGGCTTCCAGAAAATATTTCCAGAAGTTGGAAATAAATCCACAGGGGAAAAAATACCAAAAACCCAAAACAACAGAAAATGCATGAACTCTAGTAAGTGAAATTCAAAACTACAGCAGGACAAGCCAAAAGGGATTTTAGAAATAACATACCAAGTCTATGAAAAGCAATGATAAATTTATTTTTATTGAGAGTTGGTTTTGGTTTTTTTTAAGGATCAACAATTAAGTAATAAAATCTAAAAATCCTCAGAAGAAAGCTTGCCAGAGAGTCTGCAGGCTCTGCTGACAGCTATGGATCATGAAAGGAAGGCTAAAGAAAGACAAGGCAGTAGTGGGAAAATTCAACAAATTTTAGACATCAGCATTTGTTCTGGAGAGGCTTTGGGAGGACCCTGCAAGAGAACCTTTGTTTAAAAAAGGAATGAGTTGGAAGAATTATCTAGATTGGCTGATAAAACTAATGATAGGCTTTTATGCAGAATAATTAAAAAAAAATAATCTGATCTTTTTATTTTGTTTGATACTAACAGTATGTACTTAATTAAATTAAAAATCAACACCATAGTTTTACATGCTCATTTGTAACTGAAATAACATGAAGGAGCTGTTCTGATGGCTTGCTCAATCCATATGGACATGATGAGTGAGTTCCAGTGGAAAACATTCATACATAATAAAAACTAAATAAAAAACACCTTCTTCTAGGATCTTACAACTTGGTTAAAATGAAAAAAAAATTAATGAAAGCATAGAAAAGATCAGATGTTTACACTGTTCCCCCCCCCGCCGCCCCCCCCCCCCCCCCCCCCCTTCTCAAATGCTTAAAATCCCAATTGAGAAAGTAATTAAAATACGGTGGTGTTACACAGTGGAAGTCTGTGAAGGAGACACATTTTTCTTAAGATGAGCTTATCCAAGAAGAACTATACGGTCAATACACCAAAAATCACAACTGAAGCACCTACAATGATCCTGAATGATTCGTTATTTAAATGTTTTAAACAAGTGGAACCAGGGACATAGAATCCTATCAGTGAGCTACCATGTGTTCAAGATTGTGCAAGTGCTTGTCATATCTCTTGATGAAAACAATGGAAAGAAATTTAGTTAAATCAGATTTTCTTTTTATTTCTATATTCTGTAGAAGTCTCCAAAGAACAACTTAAAATGTCTAGATGAAAGTAAGTAGACCAGAAAAAACAGTCTTTGACTGCTGAATATGAAACTGTTTAGGTATCATCACTAGTTCAAGGTCAGCACCCCAAATTACTGAAAGCTTATACTACGCAGTAGTTTGAGCAGGGGAGACTATTTCAGCACATGTCCTTATCCAGAGGCATCCACAAAAATCAAATAACCCATGCAAAGGTAGTGCTAGAAAGGATTTAATGAGTTCCTAGGTTAACACACCCCTTCCTTGAAAGCAGCATGTCCACATTACAGTTGTATATTGCCAGGTCACAGTGAGAATCCACTTTAATTACCTCCTTAGCAGCCAAACAGGGAACTAATTTCAATTAACCTGTCTGTCATCCCAGCAACTTCATATGAACTTGACTCAGGCTAAGTGAAAATGTCACAAGTATCATATTTTTCTTTAGAAATAACACTATAAAGTCTTATCTCAACTTTCAAACATGTCTAACTAATGCCTTCTCCGTATCACCTCAGTTTTCAGCTGGACCAGTTTCCTGTTCCAGCTCATTGCGTGTATGTTCTAACATAGGCATTCATGCTAAGAAGGGAAGAAAGGAGCAATTGCCATGGAAAGAGGACCGGCACCCCTCCTTTCAGCAGTAAGTGCGTATTTACGCTAGATTAAATTGGTCTCAGTCAGAGCATGCTTTGACTTCCTGTTATGACCACACTGAGGTAGCAGCAGCTGCTATGAGAGGGGCAAATTTATTCTGCTTCCCTAGCCTTTTCATCCCTGAGCTTCTTCTTCCCACTGTTCCTCTACAACAGTGTTCTAGCTCATGCACTCCTGTGGAGAGACATTTTCGGGGGTAAAAACAGCAGTGGAGGGAATTAACTCTGCCCCCTCAACCCAAAAGCCCCAGCTTCAAACACCCAGAAGCTCAACACTTGTGAAATCCTAAAATACTTTCAAATTCGCTTTCAGTTCTACTAGGTTGAGATCTAAGGAAGCACTTTATTTTGTACTTTGTTATGAGAACTCTGGTAGATTCAGCATTTTAAGGACAATTCAGAAGCAATACTACACTGTTCTAACTTGAGCCATTACTTCCATTCTTGAGCTATACCTGAAACCATGGTACGTGAGCTGTATTTAAGTTTATTTTTGATTAACTCAGAGTGCTGGTAACAACAAAACAATTCATTTAGTTTGACCTATATATGATTCTAGAAAGTTAAGTATTTGCCAACATTTCCTTATTAACTGTAGGGATTTAGAACTTTCAAGTATTATAAAACGTTTCTATGTTTAATATAGATGCAACAGAAGTTCTCCATTTAATTTCTTAATAAAGCAAAATACACTTCAGCTACAAGACCGAAGTACGCCCCGTCGAAAGCCATGCCTTGTTAGAGACACTCCTGAACCACCTGTTTTTGCTGGGGGGTTATTGTATTTCTCTCCATTAATAACTGTTAGGAAAATAAGACGTGAACTAATAGATCATACACAACATGTATGGGATCTATAAATAAAACGGTAATTGAAGGTCTTAAGTTACAGGCTGAAAAAAGCTGTATGTCAGAAGAACTGTAAGTCTACTTTTTAGAAGGATACAAACTGTACAAAACACAAAACAACATGACCCACCACTTCTGAGAAGATGTGGGCCAAATCTTTCTTACAAAAAAAATTATACCCATTTTTCAAATGCCTTTCCCTTTTCTCTTAATGCATTAAATACACCTACCCTGAGCGGGAATTTTAAAGGCCTACGATAGGGCTGGAAACCCACAGGTCCTCCTTGTTGAAGTATGGCTTGATGGGCTGCATGAAGACCTTCTCCCACCACTGGAATGGCATTATTATTGCGAGCATGCTGGTTGTTAGGCTGCTGGTTTGCATTGTTTTCATTTTCTTCCTGGTCACCAAGTAGGTAAGAATGGAGATCCCTGTAACAATCAAAATTTCAGCTTTGTTTTGTTTGATATGAATGAGAATCTTACAGAAATATAGGCCTACTCAGAATGAGTACAAGTTGTACAAAACTTAAACAGGAGTACTTGCAGAATCTTGATAAAGTAAAATAAGCCATTTTCTGATAATGTATTCAATGTCATCCTAAACACAATATTTAGAAAAAAAATGCTAGTGTGGATGCAGATTAGAACAGTGGAAATACAGCCACAAATAAAGATCACTTACCTGTTTGCTTTAAAAACGTCTGGTATTAAAGTTGTGCATATAAAAGGAAAATTGTATCGATACTTCAGTTCGTATAAGCAGGCAGCTCAACTGACAACTTTTATTTTAGTGCTACTAAGCTCTATTGGAAACAATTGCCTCCAAACCTAAACTGTACAAGGACAGTACTGTATTGTTATAGACATGCTTTCAGAAGTGCAGAGTCAGGCAGAGTCTTTCAAGAAGATTCTAAATTGCTCAGAACCTGTTCACAACATTTTAAAAACATCAATTATAGAAAGATTCAATTTACTTTAAAAAGTATTCCATTGATATTTCCTGCATACATCATTAGGAAATAGATACTTATTTGAGTTTGATTAAAAAAACCCCAAACCCAATCTGAACATTTAGAAGTTAATTTTCCTCAGCTTTAGCAGAATTTTTATTAGCAGTAAGATGCATGCAGATATTCTACTGGCAGATGATGAAAACATTTTCACAGCAGTTTGCTTTTTAAGAAAAGCAGAGGAAAAGATTTTCATCTTTGCTTAACTGAAATTGCTGAAGAGATATTTCACAATTGTTCTTAACAGCTGCAACAGTGGAGAAAGGAAAGCAATTTCTATTATCATCTCCGAAATTCTCTTCTTGTGTCATACTTAAACACTATCAAAACACAGACAAATTAATTCAAAAAATAACTTTCCAAAATACAAACTAAGAGAACAGGGGTGGGGAGAGTTTCCTTATGAGAAGCTAAAATAAATATTTTGGATTGCAGTGGAAGAAAAAAGCCTTTCATTCATTTTCTCAGAGTCTCAGACATAACTTAGCAAAGAATAAATCTTCATCCTAATAATGGTGCATTGGCACGACCTACAATGAGCAAGACATGGTGGGAGAATGCCAGTATACTTTGACGTTAAATTTAAAACTTTACAGAAACATAATCAACCTTAATTTTTTCTTGACTAATTTGGCAAACAACTTATGAACTAAATAATTTCAAGTGCTAAAACTCTGCCTGGCAGTCTAAATTAGAGAACCGCACTTTGTATAATCATTTACTTCAGCTGACAAAGATACAGTTTTATCCTTCTTCAGAGACTGACCTTTTAACTTTAAAATCCCCAATTTAAAGGTATTCACTTCTTCAGTTTAATGTTCTAAATAATTTTTCCTACACCACCCCCCCCCCCTTCTTATAGTAAGAAATGCAAGATGTGCACATGAATTTTACTTACATGACTCACGGAAATGCTCTGCTGACACTTACCTCTAATTTTTCCACATAATAGGAAGTTAACAAGCTGTTAGTCATACTTTTATAATTTTTTTTTTTACTAAGCAAATGCTGTAATAGTGTACCAAAAGAATTACTTGTCAAAGACTAGTCCAGAAGTAGGTACAGCTACTGCTTAGAAGAAGGTACTTCCATAGGAAATCACTATAGAAGTTTTTCATCACATATTTATCTATAAAATATAAAATAGCTATTAACGCTACTTGTTGGGATAACTCTCTTGAAAAAGCATGCTGCTTTCATGCTAAAAGGCCAAGCTGAACACAATGCTTGTAGTTGATTTTGGCTTTCTGTACTTACAGCAAGTATCCAGCAGTAACAGTCCATGCTCGTACAAGACCTTTCAACCACTGCCTTGTATGTCCTTGTTCTAGCAACGCTGGAAGCACCACCTGAAGCAAAAGGAGCTCTAGGGAAAGTTCGCTTACTGGAGCATCGCTAGAAACAATGGGAAGAACAGGAAGTCAAACAAAGAACATTCTGATAGTAATCTTTTATCATATTAACACCACCACAATAAAAAATATATTGGATGCCAACAAGAACAATTCTTAGATTTTTGCAGACATTTTTCCTTACATACTACTCCGAGAACAGGTTAAGTGTTCATGAGTGTTTAGGCACTTAGGCCCACAAGAAATTTAAGAAAAAATGTTGAGAAAGATTATACCAGAGAATATGATTTGCTCTTCTATTTACTTCTATCATTCATGTTTCAATTATTATTTAGAAACAGAAAGATATTACTATCATTAGAAAGAAATGCAGTTACAGATATTCTTTTATTCTTGAAGCAATGATAATCAGGAATGAGTATTTTGAAAAACAAACATGGCAGCAACTTCACTATCATAAAGTTGAAGGGGAAAGTGTTTTGAGGGCATATAAAAATCAAATAGTTATCATTACAGCAGTAATACAAAATGCCTTTTATTCTTCTTAGTAGCTTTTTATTTGACAAATTGTATGATGTATCTGCGTCCTTTATCTTTTTACTTTTCTAGAACAATGAAGTTTAGATTAATTGAAAACAAACAAAACACACAAACAATGTCACATTAATGCTTAAAGAGCGCAAATACACATTTTTCTAGTTATTGGGAGACTGAAAAAACATCTTTTTTAAATTAAATGCTTACCTGTACAGCATAACATTATATGGAAGAAAGTTAGGCAGGAGATACTTAATAATGCGTATAGGAAGCCAGAGCATGAGCAGTACAATTGATCCAAAGACAATCTGAAACAAGGAAGTTAAACAAGTTAGTCCCAATAGCAGAAACAACCAAACCTAGTTTCCCACCCATCTCTCTGACAGGTTTCTTGTGTGTGGTGGGTTAGCCCTGGCTAACAGCCAAACACCTACCCAGATGCTTGCTCATTCCCCTCTCCAGCTGAATGGGGAGAAAATAGAAGGAAGGCAAGACGACTCATGGATTGAGATAATGACAGTTTAATAGAGAAAGCAAAAGCTGTGTGCGCAAGCAAAGAGTCATTCAGTCGCTACTTCCCATCAGCAGACAGATGATCAGTGACTTCCTGGAAAGCAGGGCCTCAGCACATAGAATCACAGCATCGTTTAGGTTGGAAAAGACCTTTAAGATCATAAAGTTGCTCAGGAAGGCATACGCCATAACCACGAACATTCCCCCCTTCCTCCTCCCTTCCTACAGATTTTACTGCTGAGCGCAAGGTCACGTGGTACGGAATACCCCTTTGGTAAGTTTGGGTCAGCTGTCCCAGGTATAGCCCCCTCCCGACCCCAGCTTACTCACTGGAGGGGTGGGGGAGCAGGGCGGAGCAGGAAAGAGGAAAAGCCTCCACACTGTGCAAGCACTGTTCAGCCACCCCCAAAACACCTGCCTGTTAGCAACAGTGTTTCAGCCACTAATGCAAAGCACAGAAGGACATGGGCCGCTGTGAAGAAAATTAACTCCATCCCAGGCAGACCAGTTCGCTGAGATGCCCTCGCCAAATAGGGCTGCGGCTGAATAAGCACTGGCTGGCCAGCTGGCAGTTAGGATAATGTCAGACAGTTCTACTTTCTTCCCCCTCCCCCAGCACTGGGATTACTGAGATCTACAAAAGGTCAAAAGATCTTTCAGTTTCCATTTCCTCACATTTTAAACTAGCTGAAAGATCAAAATTCAGTAGGGGGATCAGGTGCATGAAGACCACCGCTTTTATAAATCCTGTTTCCTTAAGGAACCAAATTAAAAATCAAGTACATTTTAAACACATTCTTATGCTTTCTATAAATGCACCACTAGAGACTGAAAATGCAAAAAAAATTCTTCTTGAAACTTAATAGTTTATGTTTGACACAAGAAATTTCTTAAAAATACTGAGAAAGAAACACACCCTGAAAAGCCTGAGTCGTTTTTTGAAATGGTAAACTGTAAATGATTGCTATTCTGGGTCCCATATTCTAGCGTGAGGCTGGTAAAAGTTCTGAATTAATTAGCTAAGCAAAATCGAAAGGTGAAGTTCAAGTAACCACCAGTTTCAACACAGCCTGAGAACACATCTCCAAGACCTTTAGACCTTTTTATCTTACAATGATAACCTGGAAACAGACACCACTGGCTAGGATCAGCATAATCCAATCTAAAACTAGATAGTTACTCTACCCCTGCTGCACTACTTTAGCTAAACTGGACACACAATGTTTACTGCAATAACTAAGAGCATCACAAAAGAGTTAGGTGATTTACAATATCCATAAAAAGAAACAAACACTTGTTGTCTGAATACAAAACATTTCCTGTGATTTTGCCTAAGGGGAAGATAGCACAGAAAAATTTGGTTTGGAAGGGACCTCTAGAGGTAAACTACCCCAGCCCCCTGCTCTGAGCAGACTCAGTTACATCAGGTTGCTCAGAACCTTATCCAGTTGAGTCTCAAGTATATCAAAAGATGTAGATTCTGTTCGTAACCTGTTCCAGTGTCTAATCACCTTCACGGTGAAAATGGTGTTTTTCCTTAAATACGCAGCAGCATATATGGGAGCTAACATATGAAATTTTCTTTCCAAATACATAAATTTTTGAAAAAAGTCCTTACCACTGATAGGATAAACCTCCTGAGATGTCTATAAATGGGCAAGTGAATCATTTCTTGCACAGGATTAAAGTCTGGATCATTCAAATTCCTGAGAAACCATAAGACACCAGGTCTCAATACCTGAAGTAGGAAATAGAGAACAATATAGGAAAAAAAAATTATCTTCGTATTCTTTGTTTTTCATTTTGGGTAACACTACTGCAGCAAATAAGTTTTAAACATAATAGGGGTATTTATTGAACAAAGTTCAACAAGGTTCAACAAAATGGTACAGAAATAGAACAAAGGAAGCATTACCATAGAGAAGTAGAGAAGCAATAACCAATTACAGGCTTAATTTTCAAGTCTTAATCAATCTTAAACAACTGAAATATATTTAGAGTCATTTGAAGGCAACATCCACATTTAAGGACTCTTTGTAACCTAAAAATCTCCAAGTAAAATATACTCTCATTTTCCACTGCGGTAAGTACCAGTGTGGCCCTTTTTACGTAAGGCTGAAATCCAATATACACACACAAAACACAGTAGCAGCAATACCCACACGTGAAAGATTTAACTAACAGTTCAACATGCAAGCTTCTCTATGTTACATACCAATCTTGTTCTTATAGACTTACCTCTCTCAGTAAAAGAATGAAGGATGCAAAATAAAAGACGTAAACCATTCCAACTAACCAGTGCAGAAACATTGTGGTACCTGGGGCAGACTGAAAGCTCAATTCTCTGTCTTTCAGAGTGGCATCAAACATCTCCTAGAAGGTAAGTAGCAAACAAATATGAATAAAGTTTGGCAAACCTCCACACTTACTCATTTTGTTTACCCTAGTTCATATATACTACTAGGCATATAGTTCATACATACTACTAGGCATTTAATTTAAATGTCTGCCTTATAAATAATTATAGCATTTAATTGGGAAATAAAAGGGAATCATTTACAACAAGAACAGCAAATAAAGATCAATTTCTGATCAACTTCTTTCTTCTGACAGAAAGAAGAAAGAAGTCAACTCAAACACTAACATACACCACATAAGTTATAAATCAGTTTAAACAAAGTGGCACTGTGATGGAAGCAAATACTTCTTCCCTTAAGTAAAACTGTATTTCTACAAAGGCTAGAAGAAATTAATTTTCTCCATTTGAAACTAATCACTTAATTTTTTTTCAAGACAAAAAACCCTGTCTTTCTCAATTCCAAGCAAACACAGCATGTATCTTGTTCAAAACAGAAAGAGACTGGACAACTATTAAAATATGAAGTCATTACTGTTTCACGTAAGATGGCTACATAAAGAAGTTTATTCAGTACAAAAGTTTGCCTATAAGTAAGTTCATTATCACAGTGGTCTTGTAAATGAAGTGAAAAGGATTAGGACCTTATCATCTTAATAATAGCATGTTAATTTTTATGTAGTAACAAAGGAAAACAAAATTAGCATTAAGCAGTACCTAAAAGACACTTACCCTCTGGAAACACTATGTTTATAAAAACAGAAGAGTGTCATCAAACTCACATCAACAACTCTCTTCTCATCAGAACTTTCCTTCCTTTAAATATAAACACCATTAAAAAATATTTTATCCCATTTATTTCCATTCTTACCAAAGAGCATATATCCAGCCACCAGCCACAGATGAGAGGAAACACACCAATTTCAACCACCACTAACAAGGAAACCTTTAGGAAAAAAGAGAAAAGAACATCTCACTAGTTTAACAGAAATTGCCAAGAAAGTTATAATGTAAGCTTAAATTGAGAGGGTTTTCTGCTACATGCAAAAAAAATAAGATTACCTTGACAACAATATAGCAAACTCCTAATAAACGACGTGATCGCTGGAACTTAACAAGTGCTGCCAAACCCTGAATAGTTTTGTCAAGAAAATAATACTGAAAAATACTTTATAACATAGTTTGATTAATATGAAACTCTGTATTATGTGGCTTTCAGCAACAGGAAATTTTATGAAAGACAAAAGTGAAACAGGAAGTATGTATTTTATCAGGGCTCTATTTTCAAAATGGGCTGTGACTCTGGAAGTCACAATCTGATGTGCTGGATAGCCCCCCCCAAACATGCATCTAAAATAAATGAATAAATAAATAACAGTATTACCACCCTTCTTAATTTAAGCATCCAAAAATTTTCTCAAGCAATAAACAGTTGCCTTTGAAAACATCTGCCATGAGTAAGCAACTTTCAAAACTGAAGGCCTACCTTAAATGGTAGCTTTCCTTTTCATGCAGTCTGAAACAAATTCTCACCTTTTCCAGGAAAAGCTGGATGCATATTACAATTTGGGGGGTTGTTTTGTTTTCTTTTAGGAAGCAAAACAGAGAGATGCCAATCAACTGTTTTACCACGTTTGCACTGCACATTGGTGTGGTCTAAATGTGATGTTAGCTTTGTGTACTCTTGAGCAGAAAACTGCTAACAAATGTTGATTCTTTCAAATTGAAGTTGGTGTAGTCCCTTTAAAAACATGCAGCTAGAATGCAGACTTCTTACTTGGGACCAAATCCTTCTAGCTTTCAGGAATCCACCGTTACTTAATTTTCTCTGTAATAATGAGGGTTAACACCTGAAATAAATCCTTGCTGCAAACTCTCAGTGGTTTAGAGACATAAAAGAGAAACTAAAACAATCCACGCTCTAAAGATGTGGCAGGATGAAAAAGATGTGCATAAAGTTCCCATTGTACTCTACGTATTTTCATAACTTCATTTCTCTTTCTGCTGGAAATACGTAACCCACAGCAATAGCGTAAGGACAGTGAGGAAAAAACAATAGTTCTACACTCATCTTCTCTGACAGACCTTCAAAATTTAGTTGGACGCCTTCAAGCAAGCACAAAAGCCTATGATTTTGCGTTGTTAAATGTGTGCAAGTGTTCTGAAGAATGCAGTCACACTGACAACTTTCAAATGTCCAAGAGAACAGAAGAGACCTTCTAATTTCACCAAAAGAGCAGAGCAAAATGGTAAATTAATTGCATCTGTATCACGACTGTGCCTCCTCAAAATACAGCCAGCAAAGATGATTTACATGTAAAATCCGAACCAGGTAACTACTGACAAAAGGATACATGACAAACAATTAGAGTCACTGCTAGCAGAACATATCCGACTATAGTTGTAATAAGGCCTTCAAAGTGAGATGCTTGAACCTGGAGGGGAGGGAAAAAAAGGGAAAGTCTTATCAGTCTCAAAAGATTACATTTCCTTTTTATGTAATCAAGATAAATTCCAAATCTCAACTCTTCAAGAAGCATGACAAGTTTCTTTAGTTTTTACATATTTTAATAATCGACTACTTTTTTGGTGTCTCCATCAAGAACACAAAATGTTTACATTTACTAGAAAAGCCTAACAACTACTTTCTTCAAACATGAAACCACCTCTATATATGAAACAAAAAGTGTCACCTTACACTACCTCACTACCTCCTAGCTTTCATTACCTATTATCATCAACTATGAAAATTACTCAGTACACAAATTTAAAAAATACATTAGGAAGAAGAGGCTGTTAAAAAAAACGCAAAACGTATGCATTTTTTTGTAAAAGGAGGAAACCTCACTTGAAATGTAAATAATGGAGGAAGTTGGAAA